GCCTACCTCAGCTGCAATCCATGGAGAGAAATGAATCTCCAACCTCTTTCCTTCTCTTTTCCACCTGTGACATGGGTGATTGTTTCCTCCTGGCTTCTCTCATCACCACAGGGTGATGACAGTGTACATGTCATGCACAGCCTCTGATCACACTTCTGTTGTAAAGTGAGACATCGCTGAGGTTAGCAACTCAAAGATGAATGTTACTTAAACATAACAAATAGGGTATGATGAAAGTGACACTTAGCATTCACCAAATGCTCTGACAACACCAAGGGTGCTAGTGTACCATTTGCTGGTATTTACAGGATATTATAGATTCACCAGTAGCTTACAAGGGAATGGGAAATAAAATAGATTTTAAAAGACAATAGATATTTAACAGAATTAAGACTGGCAGACCCAGATTAAAATGTCAAACGCACCATTTCCTAAGTTGAAGAGACTGCTTATCGGTGACAGCTTCTCAGTTCTTACTGGGTATCCTTAAATTACTACATCTTCTTGATATGCCATAATATATACAGGAGATTAAAAAAAAAATAAGTTGACAGAATTCAAATCTGTTCAATGAATATAGCTATATAGCTGTAACAATTATCATATTTTGAGCTAGCACTGGCTTCCTAAGGAATCATTATCCATATTACATAGCCAAAAATATAGATTCTACCAGAGAAAAATCACATCCCTATCCACATACCTTTTGGTACAGCAATACAGTATTGGTATATACCAACAATCTTTGGCCAGGAGAAGACAGCATTTGCATTGCCTCTGCTTAGGTTTGGGAGCTATTTGGGGGCCTTTCTGCTTCTTCATCATCCTCCCCTCTGCCTCAGGTGTGTAAGTGAGTGAATGCAGAGAGCTCTGCACACTTCTGTTTGCTCAGAAGTTACTTGGCTATCTATCCYTTACTTTTAGTAAATTACATTAAAAAAACAACAGGTAGAGTACAAATCTTACTGACAGAAAAATTCCCACACTTCTATGCAAGGAATATTTAGATAACTGGATTTAAAAGATTTTAATATCACCTGGTTATATACTGAGAGCAGTACCCTGGGCTCACCCTTCCTAAAGGGTAATGCTTCRGAGGGATTGATGATTCTATGTTTTTTGAAGCATAACTCCCATGTGTRGCTGCCAACATAAGTGACAGCTGAAGGTCCATTTGTGAAGGATCTTTAAGCCAGACACAACAGACCAAAGCATCTCAGATTATACTTCCACAGAAGCCATCACTGAGAGAGCAGTATTCAAAGCCCAGGCTGGACTACTGGATTTCAACTGTACAGGGCTGAAATCCTCCCAGGGCATGTGCATCCCTGCACAGTGACTTTCCCTGAAAGGTGCCATGATGCAGGCAGTCTCTTTCCCCTTCTAATTCAGGCAAGTAAAAAGAAAAGAATAAGAAAGAAAATAAAAATATTTTCAGCTTTAGATTTAGACAGTCTCCCAGCCTTCAAGAAGGAAATATCTGTTTTTTCAGATGATGACAAGGTTTTCCCTTTTTAATAATGCTTTAAGTATTAAATCTAGCACTAATAAACAAATCCACACAATAATTTCATGATGTAATTTCTTCAGATTCTGACAGTAATTTGTATGATAACAAATTATGGGTTCAGCTCTACAAAAAAATTAATATTATGCACTGTGAATAGATCTTTTTAAGTTAAACTATAGATTTAGATTTAGTTTAGATAGATCTAAACTTTAGATTTCAAAGAACTGTCTTTGGAAAACTGTGGCATAGGTGCGTATAAACATACATGTAGAGATGGATGCAATTTAAATCAGAGATCAGAAGCTTGTTTTCCTAGAACAACATCACAAATGAACTAATAAGAACATACAGATGCCTTGACTAAACTACATCCATACATTCATATATATGTCCAATATATAACAAAATAAAATGCCATGTTCACTTACCCTATCTTCTTGTTTTTCAGATTTTTATTTATGAGCTCTTTCAGTAAACTAAAGGATAAACTAAGTCCTTCACAATCATACAGACAAAATAGAATGACAAAATATCATTTGTGTGTGCTAATGTTATCTTGTCAATAATTTGTAACAGTTTTTGGTTATAATCTGACCAAAATAGAAAGCATAAGGAACAAGTGCACTTGCAGCTGTYATGAGCAATGGAGTTCTCTTCAAGAAAGGTTAACTACGATGGAAAACTAAAGAGAACAAATTGCATGTTATGCTCTGCAGAAAATTATATGATACGGGGGAAAAAAATCACAGCCTTTTCAAAGTTGTGTCTACATGTTATCCCAATATGAGCTCTAGCTTTTCATGTTATCCTCCAAGACACAACTTATTAAGGAAAAGTCAATATTTCAACTAAAGAGGATTTCTGTGACTTGCCACGTCAAACAGTGAAGTGAAACAAACATTAAACACAAAAATCAGCATTTATCTTTACACTAGTATGTTTCAATTTCTCATTTCTCAAAATTGGCTGAAGGGAATTTTCTGCCTGTTGGCAGAAAAGTGGGAGGCATTTAATGGAAAGTTTTCTTCAAACTCTCTTGAAGAAGTCTATGACCAAATAGAAATATATTTTATATTGCTTTGCTTTTACTGCATATTAAAGCAAATATACAGCTCACCATCATGAATCCAATAATCTGGATCACATTACCTCTCACTGCATGAAATAGAAGCACCTCTTGGAAAGAACACGGCAGTTCTCATGGCGAGAACACCTGCAGCTGCTGGGACAGGTACTGTTTCTGCATTAGCTCAGGCACTGCTCTAACTGCTTTAGCTCACAAGGTGAGGTTCTGGTAGACACAATTATGAGTCACCACTTGCAAGAAGGCTTCATCCTTCACATTAATTTCTGCACCAACTTCTTGTGCTTTCCATACAGGTCTTAACCCATGTGCTGATCCTGTCTATCCTTCATTCTGTTGAGGCATTAATAAGATCACAGCTACAGTTAGCTAAGGTACCACTATGGATTACATTCAGCAAGATTGATCTCAAAATACAAACAATAACTTACCCAGTAGTCATTTTAAAATAGGTAAACTCTCCTGTTCATGCACTGTCTTTTTTGTGTGTGTTTAGTTTTATTTTCTTCCTGCTGTTACCTATAATTTAGTTTGAACTGATTAGAGGAAAGAAGGAAAAATATAAGGAAAGAAAAGTAAAAGAAAATACAATCTCAAACTTCCCACAATACTTGATTTTATTGTTGTCAAAACATCAAAACAACAACAAAATAGTAACTTTGTAACCAATTTAATTCTCCTTGCAGATAACTAAGAACGTGTAGTTAAAAATCAAAATACTTCATGAGACATCTCAGCATACGGTACACACTGATTCTGCTGCTTGAACAGTTTAACATTGTTAACTTTTCTAATAATCATAGCAATACATTAATTAAAATTCTCTGGCCTGTAAGTATTAAATTCTAACAAAAACTCTGCAGAGAAGGAGAGGAAGCATACAGATTTCCAAGCAAAAAGGAGAGGGATTGTTTCAGACTCTCTGAAACAGATCCTGTAATTACAATTACCATTATTTGTGGTAGGCTTTCCTTGAGTTTTGAAAAAAGCATAAAACGTGCTTATTTTCTATAAAAGTAACGGATTTGGAATGAATTACTACTGGGACCCAGTAGTGGGTCTCAAAAGAACACATAATGTGTAAATGGCCAAGCAATAGAAAGGGATCCAAACCACCAAYATGGAAAAAAGTATAGGTTAAACAACAAATATATGCACATTTTCTATTGCTAGCCTCAGTTTCTCTAGGATTGAAAATCTACCATGTGATAAACAGATGTCAGCAGAAAGTCTATCAAAAGATAAACATTAAAAAACTGATGGAACTTGGCCCCTGGAGCAGTGCAGAATGAAGCTGATTTTTTTTTTCCCCATGAAAACCATCAGAAGCAAGATGTTATGAGCTCATTCAAAAACACTGAATGGTCCAAAATGAATGTGCCATTGCAGCAATGATAGAGTCTACAGATAACTCAGGAATTGCAAATGGAATCACCCTTTTAAGTTGTACTACTAAGTGTCCTTTCAGATAAAAATCTCTTAGCCATCTAGCTGTGATACAAAGAAGACATGTGGGAACTCAACAAACAGAAAAGAATCACAGCAAATAACTCCTAATGAGATATCTGAAAGAATTTGATTGTTACTTAGCTGTAAAGCAGTATTTTTCCCAGTGCTCATTAACAGGAATAAGAAAACAAGTTTCATCAAGATGAAAAAAATTAGGACATCTGATTTAGCAGGATACACTCTGGAAATAGCAGTTTACCAGGAAATCAAATATGTTAACTATATAACTGTAACTGTTCTGTACACTAGTGTAAGTCACTCTTAAAATTCCACTTGCCTTTGCAGTCACAACGATGAGTATGAATATGGTACCTAAACTAAACTGCTCAATTTTTTACTTCTGTCTCGCTTCATGTTATCAGCAGAAATTACAACCTTCTGAATGCTCATTCATAACAGCTAAGGCGAAAGATTTCTGCAGCTTCTGTACCCATACCTTTTGGCATGTAGAGAACCAATTCAAGTCAAAAGCTGTAAATAAAATGAGACAGAATTACGTTACAATAAAACACAGCAGCAAGATCTGAATAATTATGCCAAGATATAATCAGTAGTCAATCTAATGACAATAAATTCCAACTTCAGCATTTTTAATGGTGACTTGAAGCTTAGATACAGAGACAGAGAATTGCAGACAGCCACGGGTTCAGCTGCAAAATGTCTAAACTTTACAGGTAATGCCACCAATACCTAGGTTACTACAGTTACAAGTGAAGAGGTGCATTTTATTTAAACATTTTTTTTTTCTTTTTACAGAAAAGCTTCCAAAACTTGTGTCATCTTTACCTGTTTATTTTCAAACTGATTTGTTACTTTGGGTGATTTTTTTTTTTCAATCAACTAGTAGAATACAAAAAAAGGCAGGAAAAACAGTATGTGAAGAAATTACAGTTGTTTCTCCTGACTTTGTTCATTGGTCAGGTGAGAAATCTGGAGTCTATACTTCTACAAATGGAGCACTTTGGAACATGAGAACTAGTCTTCTTGCGTGAGCTGTAATTAGCTGTCAGTTTCCCCATGGACATTTTCCATGTGCACTTTGAGGTAATCGTTTCTTGTAAACTTCTTGTGGCAAAGCTGGCACTCTGCCATGGGGCGATTGGGGTTGTGAGTCAGCTTGTGTCGGATCAGCATTTTCTTCAGGCTGAAGGACAGATCACAAACCTAAGACAGTTAAGACAAAAGAGGTTTTAAAATCTCAATTGCATAAAGCACTCGTTATTTTACAACGGTGAAGCCACAGACACACACATTTGCAACACTTAATAAATGTGTTAAGGCACTGGGAGAGTAACTCCGTTACAGAATACGGGACTTGTTAGTCTGACTAGTATTTTTCAATATCTTATGTTAAAGTGGTACCACAGATGCAGGGTGGGAAAATGGGAAAGGGGGAAAAGCAGCTCCATTCCTCAAAATATCAATACATTAAAGTGCCCAACTACATCAGCTTTTAAAAACACATTATTCTATCTGGGATGCTGCAAAAATTAAAACAATGCCACAAAACCTCTGTCAACTTGACCTCAAATGGAACATTTCCTTCCTGATCTCCAGAAAGGGATCTGTGGGTTCCTAAAAAATCTGTTCATATTACTCAGTTACAGGAGGGAAGGCAGGAAGAGAAGAGCAGTCATTTCTTCAGGAGAAAGAAGTCATTTCTGAGGAGCTGTCATTTCTTTAACAAGTCCCTGTACCAAAGCCAAAGTGAAAAGTTAAGAATAGGCCCAGCTAAGAAAGGTTAGAAAGAAAAGTAGGAATGTAAAAGAAGCAAACAGTGCTTAAACTACTAGATAAAAATGAACGAACAGGCAGGCTTTGGATCTTAGAATGCCAAGTTAATTTTAGACAAAAATGTCTTGCTTATTGAAGAAACTCCAAATTCAGCAGAACAGTCGAAAACTTTTGAAAAATCTTCTGAAAAGCTCTCCTTCAAAGAACAGTAACAGGTTTATGAAGCATGACATCTTTCTGCATACATCGGACTGACTCCTTTCTATTTCAAAAGGTGGGCATGCTTACTAAGTGTTCTTTTACATTTTTTTCTTCCCATTTACCTAAAAGAGAAGCCAAACATATTTCTCCTCTCTACCAGGCACTCCTTCTAAATCCCCTTTTTAAAATTATTATCGCATTCTTTTTACAAAAAGACCACCCCAGGCAAGTGGCTAGTGACACACTTCCCAGGTGTTTCTGAACCAGGGCATGCAATTCCAGAGCAAATCCTCTATTTTTCAAGTAATTTTTTAAAGCATAACAGTCTTGAGAAACTTCTCCCCCACCGCCCCTCCTTTACAATGTTCATCTAAAAACTAGCTTTAGCAGAATGTGCCCTGCTTTTGCTTCAAGGCTCTAAAACATTCTACTACATATCTTGTTTGAAATCAGCAGGGAAAACATAGAATTATTACTTAAATATATGATATATCTTGTGATGTGCTCACATATACAAGTTTTTTTTTTCTTTTTTTCCAGGACTTCACTTGGCATTTTAATTTCTAAAGGCAGATTGCTGTTTCATGGATTTACCAAGTCATATTTGCTTTATGTGCACTTGAACTCCAAACAACCCCTTTAAAATGATCAAACTTTTGTTCAAATAGGGAGGATGGAGATAACTGACATTTAAAGGTAAGTGTAGAGTCCACTAAAGGCATCATGTAGGCCACATACTGTATTGGAAATAAACCAGGATTCATTTAAATGAATAACATGAACAGATCCTTAAATAAATAAAGACCAGATTTCCTCAAACAGAAACTGAAAACTGTAACAGAAGCATTCAGATTCCAAGTAATTAATTAAATAACTTTTCCTGTACAGACTAATCTCCAACCATTAACTTGTCATATAACTCCAAAAGATCCCAAATGCCATGATGTGTAACATCCAAATTGTATTAAGAATGGTGAAAACAACTCTTAAGGGATTTTAAACCATAAAATAAGAGTACGTGCAATGCTCTTGGTAACTAAAAATGGTACATAAAATTCCCTAAATGGTCTTTCAATAGTTAGGCAATCAAAGACCATGAGAGGCACAACTTTACGTCACTGACAATAGGTTCAAGGCCAATACTCGCAGTAAAAATTGCATCTTAATCGTGCACCAAAGTCAAGAAGACAAAGGGATGGAGCAACTCACATCACATTGAAAGGGCTTCTCTCCAGTGTGGGTTCGCATGTGCTCATCGAGGCCCCGCTTCTGACTGAAAGCCTTGTTGCACTCGGAGCACTGGTACGGCTTTTCCTGCGCACAGGGACGACAGCGAGGGAGAGAGGGTGGGAGTGAGTCAACGCAGAGCCCAAGTCATTAGGGGAGCAGAAATCCATGCTGCATGGGGCAAGTTTTATATTCTCTCTAAGGGATTACAGTCAGTGAAAACAACAGAAAATGAGTTTCAAATGATTAAGTGAAAGCTGGGAAAGCTGTGGCCAGACAGTTTCCACTTCAACACCCACTTACAAATTAATTATCTGTTCCAGTCTTTCAAATCCACCCATTTTGGGAGCCTGTTTTTCCATATTGTGAAAGGCACAAAAAAACCCCCCATAAAATTCCAATGCACTTTCCTTCATCCTCCATAAAAGCTTAAAGAAAAGTTAGATGTGTAATAACCTGAGGCTTGTAAGCAGGTTTCCAAGCGGAGGGAGAGGTGAGTGGAGGAAATGGTGTGGGGGGGACAACACAAGGAAAGCCTATAGAAGAGAAAAACCTTACTTTGATAAGTGGTGACAGAAGGTTAATAGCAAATTCATTGCAGAATCTCAAAAGAAGTGCAGATGGCAACCAAGCCATCTGTATTTTTATTAGAACTATTGGTTAGCAGCTACTGTAACACATGATGTTATAAGAGTTGCAAGCCCACTGACTTCAAATAAATAGAGATATGCATGGCCAACTACATATATACTGATTTTCTTCTTTTAAAGTTCTTCTTAATATAGGAAAAAGAGCGGGAAAAAACACACTTAAGCCAATTGGTTTAATATAAGACTTAATGTTACGGTATTGCCTGCTGTCTCCCTAAAGATTTTGATGTTCTAGAGGCACTGTTATATTTTCATAGTCAAATAATTACACTTCTCTTGCACTACTTTTATGTGTTCTCCCATTCCACATTGCTCAAGTTCCAAAAATGTACACTTTAGACAACAAAGTAAATAAGGAGGATTTTAAAGTGGCATTAAATTAAAAACAAATACTATATATCAACAGGCAATAAAAACACTGCTTCCCTGAATTAACAAATAATAGGCATTTTGCTTTACGATCTTTTGGAGATGCCATGCAACCCAAGGATAAGTGCAAGTAAAAACTCAAATCATGAGTTAAAGCTATGAAGTAATGAAATTCTCTGGTCACTGAACGTCCCTGTGGAGAGGGCAATGAGGGCTCCATATATTGATCAGTCAGGGACTCAGCATAACCTACACAAGCAGTGAAATGGCCTTTTAGTCAGTACTGCACTGACCAAAGCCCCCATCTCTGCTTCCAGGGCAGGTGTCTGCAGTGTTCAGAGATCGCCCCAAGGCTAAAGACCGCGCTCTACATTTTGCAAGTCATTGTAGAGGTTTCCAGGAGGAGGCTTCCTAGAAAAGGAAATGTCATGGACCTCAATGCCTCAGCTTGTAGTGACAGCAATACTCTAGCTCACCAAGACAAGGACATAAGCTGCTATAATTTTTAACAAAACGTATGGACAAACCATATGAAACGCAGATTTCTGCAACACATCTTTAATTGGTTTGGCATTGCGGTTAACACAAGCCACATTTTCTATGAATTCTCTGAAAAATAAATCTTTACTTTCTGTGTAGGCTATTCCACAAAAAGTGCAAAGTGTGTAATTCGCGCCTCTTAGACACCTATGAAAGCATTCATTATGGCAAACTGCACCAGCTGTACTTGTTTCCATTTTGTTGTCTTATTGTACAAAGAGCTGAGGAGTTTATTATAATTATCTGATCCATTTCAGAGTTAAATGTAGTTCAAGAACAACTCAACTCCATTTTAGAGAAAGAGCTGTAACAACCTCTGTGAAGCTAAACAAGTTACAAATCTGGGCTAGAATACCTCCCTGTTATTTGCATTATTATCTGCTCCAAAAAGGGGCATCTAACCATCCTCTTGGCATTTATATTAGAATTCACATCTGTATTGCATGAAACTTATCCAAAGCTGTCTTTGATCTAATTTTAGATCTCTTCACATCTGTATATTCCACTGACTTCAGCAGATGCGCTTTTGATTCACATCARGCCCTTCTCCTCTCTCTCCACTAAGATGCCATTTGTTCACAATCACATCCATTACAGTAAAATCAGCAGAGCTGTCAGGGAAAGCTCTTGGCCCTGAGCTTCCCTTAAGAGCTACAGGTTTTTGCTAGTTTCAAAGAGGCTATCAACCTCAAAGACCAATGTCTTAAAAAAAAAAATATTCTGGGCTTTTTTGTTTTTTTCTTTCCATCCCCCACCTCCTTCAAACTTAGTTTCCAATGCATTAGACTAGGACTTGGATAAGACTTCATTTGAAATATGCAGAAGATGATGCTGGCTTGGCATAACCACCACTCCCGCACAGAAAACGCAAATAAAATTCACAGTAACAAGTCTGAAAGACTTAATACCACAACAAAAAGACAATAGGTGCAATGATGAAATTACAAGAAAGCTAGTCAGATTTGAAACACAAAGCTAAAGGAAAAACCTGCTAAACATCAACAAAATGGAAGGTCACTGGGAAGATCATGTATGTCTAACTTCAGAGCAGACTGCAACTGCTGGTACTATAAATCCATCCTCTGTTCAGAAAGCATCTGCCAGACCATGGCTATGGTGACAGGAAAGCCAAAGGATTACATGTGTTTTCTTTTATTGATGACATAAGTGAGGAAGGGGGCAGGGAGAGTGAGAGAGACAGGATGTAGCTGATACTGAAGTGACTTAATATTATATTTTAAAGTATATCAGTTATGAATAGACATATGTAGATCATGCTTTACAACCTTCTGGCCTCTAAGCTAAGAGTGGCCAACCCAGCTGGGACTTGGCACTCGGGGAGACGCCTGACAAAACAGCAGGCCGACTCCTAAGTTCCGATCCCTTACAATTTTTGTTTCATGATGTTAAAGGCATAAGAGGAATTCAATGTTTTAACTGCTGTGACAAACAAAACAGTGCCTTCTCTGAATCATGAGATACTATTTTCGATCCTATGCAAACAGTGCCTTGCATTAGAAAAAAATCCAGAAGATAACCAATTCTCAGGGACACTTAACACCACCTTTAACAGATTGACAGAACATGTGTACAGCCTATGCTACAACTATGGCAGATGGAAATACTTAAAAGCAGAACATCCGCACTGGTAACTGTTGCTGCAGCTGCCTACATCTCCCCTAAGACATATAAATACAAGCATGCTGGGTTATCTGTGATAAAAATACTGTCATTGATTACACAGGATAAAAGGTACCTAAATAAGGTCTAATAGGGAAATCTGGAGGTAAACATGATGTATTTAAGAAAAATAACAATAAAACTGTGATTCATAATCCTAGAACTTATATAAGGTTTGTTAGTAAAACCTGCATAAATCCAGGCTGCTCTCTACTTCTCTTGGTAAACAGCAGGTACAGACCTTTGCTGAGGGAGATTTATACTCATTAGAAGAAAAGAGGCTTTAAAAAAAAAAAAAAAAAAAAAAACAGCAATCAGCTTGTATTTTTGATAATGGAACTGGCATGGAACTGAGTGGGGTCATAAAGACAGCACAATACTTTCCACAGCAAGGACTACTTATGCTGCTGAGGTTTAAATTTACATTTCAGCCTTATAAAAGCCATTAAGCTGATTAATATCAAGAAAGCAATGGTAGTGATATTTTCAGCCAGGTAGTAACTGTTCTTCTCAACCAGCTGTTGAGAATAGAGACCAAGTCAGTTAAGACCACAGATGGTGACAGTTAATGGAGCCCAGTTTTGTATTTAAGTGTGAAGAACACAAAAGAACTAACAAGATTCCCTCTTAGAAAGAGAGGGTTTTTGGGGGGGTAAAGCTGCAACGAATGGCCCTCCCACAGCCAGAGGCCCACTTAAATGATCAGACTTGCATTAAATTATTGAAGTAATGTTGAAACGGAAAGACAAAGTTGATGAAAATTTGTAACTCTCCAGAAGTTGCAGAGTATTGAATCTTATAGTGATTAAAGTTCAATAAACAAGAGAAATGCAGTTAATAAATCACTTTAGAAACAAAAACTTTGTGACACAAAAATTTTTGCCCCTAAGCTGATCTGCTCATGGTAAAACAGGAGCAATACAAAAGTATTTTCTATCAGGACAAGAAACAAAAATCCAAAAGACGACAACAAAAGAACAAAAAAAGATTGTGAAAAAATACAGATGCTGTAGTATCCAAACTTTCTATATTCTGTATACAAACAGGGATTTCACAAGAAACCATATCGCTAGCAAAATCACATCTTCAAGTTGACAGATGTTTGGGAACTCACACCTCTCCTATGGGGAAATATAGAGAGAATCTAATACTGAGGAAAAAATCAAAATTCAATCTACACCTCATATGTTATTTCATGACAAACCATCTTGTGCATACAAGACTATATATATTTTTAGGGGTGGAGTGGGGTGAATGACATGGAAAACCTTTTCTAGACCACCTGTTTTTAAAGCTTTCTTAAGCCCAAATATTCCTAGGAAATAGAAAATAAGGAAAATTATGGCACAACCTTCAATATTTTTTCATGTATTAAAGATTGTTTTGTTCTTTTGAATTTAAAAATCCAGTTCAAAAACAAAAACAACAACAAAAATCCAGTTTCACATTAGTGCTCTGAAGACAACTTTTCAACTAAGTGCAGGATGAAGACAGTTTGCTGCCCATATTAGCCTAGCAACAAACTTGAACACTGAGTTGGAAGGAAAACCTTAGCAAAGACTGTCTAGCTCCATGCTCACATATACTATTTCCAATGAGTTCTTTAATGAAACTCCAAATCAACTCAGCTGGGTAACTCTTGCACATAATGCAGTCAGTCCTCACCTTCTGTGGATAACTTTGAACATGTGCCAGTAGCCTGAGTAGACACTCCGCCACTACTAAGCATGGGATTAAGGAACTGAGAAGCAGGCTTCAAAATACGCCCAATATTCAGGCCACTAGACCAGACCAATCCATGCATTACAGCAATTGCCAATTTAGAAGGAGCCAGCAAGAACAAGAGGCAAAGCCCCTGAATCAGCATTATAGATAATGATAACTAAAGTATCCAGAAGCTACGTAACAGCAGCAGTCTATTAACCAGTCCCATGCAATATACATAGAGATTAGTAGCTGGATGTGTAGATGTCAATACTCGCCAGACATTTCAAATGTAGAAAAGTAAAGTTAGTTACATAATTACAAAAATAGGTTTGTTGGTTTTTTTGGTGGGGGGAATTGTTGCTATGTGTGTATTTATTTTAATCAATGCATATCACTTGATGTATTTCTTACAGAGTAGTCTGCATATCGGGTGTTTTAAGCATGCTTAAACAGATGCCTTTCAAACACCAGAACTCAGACTTCTTAAGCTATTACATCTTGTAAGTATAAAAATAAAATATTAAATTCAAGTGACAAAAGCACTTGTAATGGCTTCTATTCTTATCATTTTCCATCACTGCTTTGTATAATCATGAAACTTAATGTAATAAAATGACATTTTCAGATGCAAAGAAAATACTGATTTAAAATGACAATAATTTTGGACACATATATAGGATTACATTTTAAAATGTTAACACTTACATTACAGTAAAATAAAATATTTTTTCCTCCATGTTAAAGCTCAGAGTATATAACATGGCAGGTGCTGAATAAAGCCTTAGGAAAGGTTGAAGTTTATTTCATGGTGTAGGTTGGCAATATATGTGTATCTTCAAAGCTGACATAATTTATAAATGCATTTCMCCAGGACCTTCAGTAAGTTCCACACTTATATTTATTGAGCTGTTTTATTTCTTTTTCTTCAGGGGAAAAAACAATCACATCTATTTTTATAATAAAATCAGTACTCAGGTGACATTTCAATATTAGGTGGTTGGTATTTTCTTCTCCTTATATTGTCAGTAGGGGTTTTGACTTACCTTTTCTGTTTACTCCAGTGTTAGAGCTGACACCTGTGGCCACCCAGGTTGCTCTCAGTTTAGCAGCTGCCAGACCTAAATCAACTTTCTACAATGATTTTTCCAGCAGCCTCCCCTGATCCACAGGATCAAGTTTGGCACTTAATCCCACTGGTAAAATATAGATTTSATCTCTGCAATGACACTTGCCTTGTTGAATGTCATATTTATTACACTTAAGCTACTTCACAATCTGCCGACCAAAATCTTTTTCAAGATTTCTGCTAGTATGGCCATTGAGGTGCTATGAATGTTTAGGGTTTTTTTTTTTCTCCTACTCTGATAGGCCTAACTAATTCAAAAATATTTTCTGGATTTATATCCTATTCTCTAAATAACTATGCTGCAGTAGGCATGCAAGAAAAAATCCAAAGGAAAATGTAAATTTAGGAAAAGATAAGAAAAGGAAAAGAATGCAAAACATTGTATTTTCCCATTACATAGTGAAACATAGTGTTAAGTTTAAAACATTCATTTCAGAGATGATGCAAAAGAATACATTTACATATTCCATATATCTTTTGAGATTTTATAAGGGATTCTGTATGCTATACTAAATATGTATTAAACTAAATTCTGAATCTCCTGTAAACCAGCTAGTCCAAACTCAAGATTCTCAATGAACCAATCCTTGACTGCAAGAACTAGTATAGTCACAGTGTGCTGGATCTACGGAACAAAAGTGTTGCAAATGCTTTGCATTATCATTACATTACAGAGTTTTCTTATACAGGAAAAAAAAAGGAATATAATTTAAATTTGCTAAGCAGCTATCCACAAGCATATGAAATGAAAAGGAAGTTGCACTTTTTATGCTAGGGAACCCAAGAAATGTTGTCAATTAAGAACTCCTGTCATGGAACTATCCCTCCACCAGTCAATCTCCAGGCRGCATTAGAGAAACTACCAAGTACTTCCAAACTAAAGTTTAGGGTAGGATACATAATACTTTATCAATGACCCCCAGCTAACATCCTGAAGACCTGGGTAGAAATGCAAGAAATTTAACGAAAAGAACAGCCTTGAAGTAATTTTTAAATCTTTAATTTTTTAATCTCAGCAGTAAATTACTGAATGTGCATATTAGCATATGGAGACCACTAAGTTCAGTTCTACTTTCCCCATATCCTAATGGACAGAGAACTTGCTGGTTTGGCTGCAAGCAGTTAACAGCCCCCAAGAGATTAGTGATAAAGGCTATAATTTGCTCCTAACTTTTTGTTTTTTTTCCCCAAAGAGTGAATGGTGAAACCAGAGGCAGGTAGGATGCAGAACGCTGACTGGCTTTACTTCAGCTACAGATTTCCTTTTATTAMGGGAATTCACAGCTGGCTGCTTCAAGGCAGCTTTCAGTCTCCTTGCTAGAAAGGAATAAGCAATAGCTGAGCAGGCTTGAGATCTTGCCTGTCCTCTAGCAAATGCACATGCACGACAAACCTTTCTTTCTAGAACAAAGAACCTCTGTGATAATTGAGACTTTAAGTTTAAGAATGATCTTGGAGGGATCTAGAAGTTCCTTTTTACTTTGCCTTCACTTAATTCACCAAGCTGTTTTACAGCTTAATATTTGTCATCAGTTAATAAAGTACAGCCTCTACAAAAGCTCACAGTGACAGGATTTGAAAACAACAGTAAGAAACAAAGCACTGGATATTCAGGTTTCAACAGTGAAGCCTTTACAGAACTGTTTTCCCAGTGGAAACTGAAAATATTTCTTGTATGAATAGATAAAGTCAGGTTACAGGAAGGAATTAGTACTATTACTATTAACATACAAAAAACTGAAGATATTAAAAATAGAAGGTCAGTAAGGGAGACAATTGGAATGTAACAGTTAATGACTGAAGCCTTTGCCTCTTCTTTTGCGAAGTATAATGCATTTTGGTTGATGCAGTCTTATCTCAAAGTAGTAAATTTTTTCCCACCCTCACATACAATTTATAGACAAGTAAACACAAAAAACTACATTTACCCTTACGTAGGACTTACCCTTGTGTGAGTGCGAATATGCATCTTTAATCCATCATTCTTGCTGAAAGCTTTGTCACAGTAAGGGCACTGATAAGGACGTTCACCTGAAAGGAATAAAAGTATCAGAATCTACTAATGCAGCCCCAGTACACAGCAGCCTCACGGTATGTTATCTGTCAAACTGAGCTATATCCTTCTGCCCTCATCTTCATGCTCAGTTCAAATAATAAGAAAGATTCGAGCAGTAGGAAAATTACGTAAAAATTCACGTCTGGATCAAAATATTACCCTTGGCTACTTGRTTTTGTCCTAGCAAGGTATGTACACATACACACACACAGAAACTAAATGATACACCAATCCTTCCACCCCTTGGCCCACAAACCACATTCTGTAGCAGCTTTTACATAGTCTTTTTTATGCTTTAGGCATTAACTGCTCCCAACTACTTCTCTTATTTCACATCTGGTCATTATTAGAGCCCTCTGGGCATCCAGAATCCAATTTAAACATAAAATAGAGTCTTGTTTTAATGTTGTGCCTGACCTAAGTGTGTTAAAAGCTAGTTAATATYTTTCTATGAGTGTTTCAGCAACCTTTGCGTCACAATTTATGATTGAAGTGAAAGCAGAAGGCTCCCAGCATCTCCACTGCAGCATCCCAAATCTTAAATGTATTTAGTTTTAATGCTCCATTAAACTGGTGTCATGTAGCACTGATTTTGCTGATCTAATGAAAAACACATCAGTGTAATGGCAATACTGGGCCACACATAACCATACAATGAAGAGCTTCTGAGCTACTTCCATAATTTCTAAGAAGTTTTATATTCCCCAGGGATACTTTAATTTTCAACCTTTTAGGCACTGTACTAGAATCTAACTCTAGTATCTTTCTGTATTCAGAGCTTTAAGAACAAATACTAGATTGTTTCTTATTATGGAGTTCAACAAGTTAACATACAACAACTACTTTCCATGAACAAAATGGCATCTGTTCTGCACAATCATGTTGCTGAGGGGGTAACAAACCTTTATCTGAAAACATAAGTGAAACAAAGTCACTTCTACCAGTCAATGCTGAGAATTCTGCCCAAGAATCTTTGCCTGTACAGAGATATTTCACATACTGCAAGAGTCAGATAAACATTAATTAACACTCAAATTCAGTCCTAGAAAAYGGGTAAACAAGTAAGATTATCTACATTTTACCCATATTATCAGATATTAAGAGCTCTTTCACTGATAAGGCAAAGATCAGAGTGCAAGAGAGACTATCAGAGATCAGCTTTTAAAGCTTCACAGTCCCTAATAATGGGGACATTTGTCTTGGCTTGGAGAAAGGAAGCCTCATCCCTCTTCTCAGCTTTTCTTCAAATGAGGTGTTCTCTCTCTACAATTGCTCAGCAAGAAGATACTGAGTGTTCTGTTTCTTAGGAACAAAATGTCAGGGAATTGCTCAAAGTGGAGACTGCCTCAGAAACAGTTCTTCAAAAGGACTCAAGGTGAATGACGTACAGGTGATGCACCAGCAGTCACTGTCATACATCAAACTTCCATACAGTCACAGAGAAKGCAGAGACCTGAGGGCAGTTGTCATTAGAGGATTATTCGAGTGAGGGATAAAAAAAAAATAACATTTGTTAATGCAAGATTCTGCTCTTTTATTATTTTTAAAAAAGTTAATGAGAGGAGCAGAAAAATGCATAGTGAAATACTTGTGAAATACTTTTTTTTCCCCTCTGGTATCCTGCCATCTCTCTATAAGAAGCAAAATTGTGTGAATTTGAGTGGGTTTTTTTATACAACAACAGTTACTATGTCTTAGTTGGTTTCTCAAGGGGAAGCTTCACATCTGTTTGAAACATGACACTATCTCTCGTGACCCTTGCTGTCTTAAAGCCATGCCTGAATCCTTCAAGTACTCCAGCACTTGTCAGTGCTCAAGCATTTAATTAATTCAGCTGACATTTTTATGTTTTAGGCCTTTTGAATGCAGAAAGTAAAGTTTTCAGCAGTTTGTAAGCAGATGAGTGTTGACAAGTAGGAACTGTACATTCCCCCTCCTTTTCTCTCCTTCATTCCCATTTCCAAATTTCCTTAAAGACAAAGTCTTTTGCTTTCAAAGGAAGGTTTTGAGTTTGTCTGAAGTCCATTAGCAATGTTCTTCAGCAATGAATCATGGAGATGATGATACTGGAGGAGTAACGCTGCAAGAGCTTTCAGCAGGTGCCAGTAGAGGGCAACACTATGACTTTAGATCAGTATGTCATACCTGACAAAGCCCTGCTTTGAGCAGCTATCTTGTACTTCAAATTTACGTTTTTTTTTCCTATTGTTCCAGAATTCCAGATTACAATGTAACATTGTTACAATGTAATATGTAAGCTCTTGGTTGACATTGATACCTGGTGACTTGCATTTTTCTATAATATACAAACAACTTCTCACATCCCTGTGTTATAAGTAAAACAACTTAAGGATGATCCCAAATCATTTCACTCCTGCTCTTATTTTTGGCTAATCTCTTTCACCTAAACTTGTAGCCTGCAGTTTACATGCCCTCTCTCTATATATATGTATATATACGTGTGTGTATGTATATATATAATCTATATAAATCAGCGTCCTTACRCTTACATAAGCAAATGCTTCTTTTGCACTGTAAATATTTTGTAAGCATATAACTTATCTTCCACCTCGAAGAATTCATAGGTTTTGCAAGATTGATTGTTGGCCACAAGACAAACACGTCCTTGCAACAGCAAAGTTTCTAAAATAGATTTCTTAGCCTCCTTCCAAACAGTTCAAAGATGCATTTGTATCAGTGTATGAAATATATATTCATACACTTTCTTTGCACTAAAAAAATGTAATTTTAAGATGATCATATCTGTGAGCAAGAGAAACCTTCTCCTCATTTGACTTCAGTCATTTAAAAACAAGATGTCTAAATTAAACTGATTGTTCTGCATTGCACTGAAATCTAGGATGAAATAAAGTTGGGGTGAATTGTTCTCTTGAAAGGACCTAACTTATCTGCCTCTCGCATAATGGAACAAACTGTCTTTTATCAATGCCTCTTTTTCTCTATTTACTGTAGAATGAGACTAGGCATCTAGTTCAGATTAGTTGCCTAAACTTTTGGAGAGCAGATTTTGGCAAGATTTAGGCAACTATCCTACATGTTAATTTTTACCAGGGATATGGAAATTAATTCCCATCCTTGCTTTGGACTAAACTAAACAATACTATTCGTTCTACTAGTCAGCTGCTCTTAAAAAAAAAAAAAAAAAAAAAAAAAACACCACCACAATTTTCTCCAGTGAGACTGTTGGGAAGTAGATGTTCCCCAATAGGAGTCTTATACGGTCCATCTAACTTTTTATCTACAAGATAAAGATGAGCAGCAGTCCTTCTTTTCTCTAATGCTACAGTACATAAACAGCACACAAAGATGAGAGAAAACACCGATTTGACATGATGAATGTGTAATACACTCTTCACACACATTTTCCACAGTTTGCTGAAGTGCAAAGTTTCATGCAGGACTAAAATGTCACAGTCTAAAAATGAGAGGTTTTTGTATTCCAAAGAAGTTAAAAAGTGTTATGAAAAAAAAAGTGCAATGTGACACAAGTGTTTAGCAAGGTAACATCATGCATCAGTACTTTCATGTTTTTGAATTTCCAAACACGCTCCTACATTTAAAAAATACCTACCAGCAAACATCAACATGACWATATGAGCTTCATTCTTTGCTATGAACATATTGTTAGACTTTTGCACAGGATGAACATCCAGTAGGCACATTAAATACATCTGAATTTGTGAGTTTGCCCAGAAGTAGTCAGAAGTAGTGTTGCAAATACAACAAAGAACAACTTCTATCATTAAAAATAGCAAAACAGTCAAGTAAGACAGTAGTAATAAATGCTACAGCCCTCCAATTCCAGCTGATTGTCACAATCCTGCTGTCTATGAACAAATTGCTGAACACATTAACAGCCTTTCTGCACAAATATCTGCAAATAAGTAATCCTTAAATAAATTGCAGTGGATTTAATATAATTCAAAGTCTAGACATTCTACTTATAGATTTGATATGAATAAAAGCAAAGCTTTTAACATAATAAAAATAAATTTAACCCTAATACAAGGATTATGAAAAGCAATTCCATGACTGAAAAACATATGGGAACATGATCTGAAAAGTAAGATRTCAAGATAGAATAGTGGTTCTTTTTTCAAGTGTTTACATATCCAGCTTCAGAAGGTTCACAATACTTACTGAACCTTAACAAAGCCCTAAAAATTGAATTTAAACACCAGATTTCCCATTCTAGTTCAACAAGAACAACCAAAAAGATTTGCAGGGGAAACAGTCTCACAGAACTCCTCCAAAATATAGATTGGAATTGCTTCTACTTCATTCTGTTAAATTTGACGTTAAATTTATCATTTCCATGTGTCTTCCTTTGTCACAAGTATGAAATTCTCAGTTATATATGTTAGCATTCACTTAATGAACCATATAGCTTTCTACATCTTTATTGCAACTAAACTACTGCATTAAAGAAAAGAGAATTTGAATTATACAGGGAAAGTATATATTTTTTAAAAAAAATCTGTTTCTGGGTCATTGGGAGGATTTAGCAAAACAGGTCTAGGTCAACACCCACTGACATCAAAAAGACTCATCACAAACTATACTGATCATGAGAAGGAATTATTTTCTTTCCTTTTAAGAAAATTAATGGATAATTATGGCATTTTGGTCCCTCAAAATCTTCTACAGACGACCTTCTGCGGGAATCTCCTAAATATCACTCTGATTCAAATGTTGGACTAGTCAAAACAATGATTAGAAAATGATTTATAAATAATAACTGAGCATATTTTGTTGTCAATCTTCAGAAAGTTATGYTGAAGTGCAACCCTGTTTAAACATCTAACTTGAGAGCATCCCAGTGTTGGATGGGGGAACTGGGGGAGTGGAGGCAAAGAATCCACCACCACAAACTCTGTCAAAAGGAAGATAGTTCTTCTGGGGAGGAATTTGGAAGCAAAAGGGCCATCTGGCTCACACATGCAACACTCCATAC